AATTTCTGAAGAAAAAACCATATGGTTGTTTTTCATACAGTCCAGGAATGTATACAAAGAACAGCTAACAAAATATAATAACCAGTCCAATGATTCCTTTCTTTCAGAATCATTTATCTAAATCAGTAAATACATTATTTAAAGAAAATTAAAATAAAATTAAATTACCCACAGGAACACAGCTTCTCATTAGAAACATCACATTTTGATTTTGGCTTTGTTGTGGCAAAGTGCTATTCTGACTAACCGAATCAAGAGATGGTGGCTGCAGTTTATTTAAACAGTAGTTTAGTAGGACAGCTAGCAGATTTCCAGATGCACTATTCGACATCCCTGCAACCAATAAATAAAAGGAGGAAGACTTTTGGAATGCTAACATTTGCTCCAGAAAATTGCTCAAAGAGGACAGGGATGATAAAAGCGGTTGCACCACTTCTTGTCATGGTGCCAGAAATGAATGTTTACCCAGTGCTGCGTCCCCAACAGATGGGGTGAAAAAAAAATTTAGAAAGTCTCTTCTCCCAACTATTTTGCCATGAAGAAGGGTGTAGTGAAGCAAAACAAATTATTTACAGGGTAGAAATAGAACCATAAAGACATGTTCAAATAGTTACATGTAGGTTTCTTGGCGTTTATGTTAGCAGACATTTTGGGAAAAACACTATCATGTTATTCCATAGTCCATCATTTTGCCTGTCATTATATTTATAATTCATGCACTCTGGTCTTACAGCTTGTGCTGCAAGAGGGGCTCTAAATTGGGACGGTTAAACTTTGGACTTGGATTATATTGTATTTCTTGATCAAAACCACAGGTGTACAGCTCTGGAAGATGCCAAATGTTTCCAGTGATGGTTGTGTCTTTGTAAACCCCCACTGCCTAGAGCGGCAGTCTGGTATCTCAGACCCAGCAGCAGTTAGAGCAGGGTGGAAGTGCAGAAGTGAGGGAAGAGTGATAACAACACGAGGTTGAAATCAAGAACCTTTATGCAGACTGTCTTGTGGCAACAGCATGAAGCAGACTGTGCAGCCACGAATCACTGAGCCAAGCACCAGAAAATGTTCTATCAGTGTGGAGGAAAGACTCTCTGCCGGCTCAAGATCTACCCTGAGGACTGGGTGGAGGATTAGCAGGCCAGGCCAAGGAATATCTGGGGCAGAGCCAGGACGATGCATATATCATGACTGACTTCTCTGGGCCTGAGGGAAGCCCTTGCTTGGGAAAGCATTTTTTCAACAACTGTCCTAATTTCCATCACTGGTGCATGCGGACCCACCAGCGACCCCCACCTGACCTACCAGTACCTCAACTCTCAGTAGCTCAACACCTCTTCTCTTGTGCCCAGGACTGAGATCCGGGCTCTGGAAAAGCACACCTGCACAGCATGACAGAAGAGATTTCTGAGCCAGCACAGGCACCGCATCCCATGCAGCCCTGCCAGCTCACGCTGCACGGGCTGCTGCTTCGCTGTCTCCCAGTCCTTCACCTGCTACGTACAGACACCACCAATGCATGCTAGAAACCCCATAAAGTACTTGGGGTGAAATAACAGCCATTACCAATGCTGCTGCCCCTCCTGAGGCCACAGATTGGTTTTGGACTGACAACTGTACATACAAAAAGAAAAAAATTCTAAGTCCTTCTTCCATCCACGTCCCTATATGCCAGCTAGGGTAACACTGTAAGAACCACAGTCACAAGTTGATGAAGTGATAATAAGCATAAGAGAAGTAAGAAACATTTGATTAAGTATAGGGTGATCAGGAAGACAGCCAAAACCAAGTTGGTAATCCATCAGCTCTTACGTCTAAAGGTGCTTCGAAGTATGTATTGTGTCTGCTTCCTTGAAAGAAAGAGAGGAGTTGGCACAGACTTCTATAGGAGCAGGATATTGTCTTTTAGTGTTTTAAACCAGTCAGTGTTGCCTATAAAAATTGAGATGCAGATCCTAAGAAAAATGGGAAGTGGGTTGGACAGACAGAATTTATGTGCTACCCAGACATTTCCAGAGTTAACTGCATCTGGATTTCTACCATGATTTTTATCTGTAAAAAAACCTCTAAAATAAGATGCCCCATATATGGCAAGACTGTTTCTTGGGCCGCTAAAGACAATGTGAAAGCCTGTTCATTACAGTTAATAGAAGCCAAACTCAAAGTGCAAAGTATAATACCTTTCCCTTGATTTATTTTCAAAGATAATACGGATGTGGATGATTTCAGACAAGTCTGCTCTCTTCAGTGTTTTGGCAAGCATTGCTTTCCTACAGAGGAGCACTACCTGCTTTCCATGTGCATTTCTGGCTGAATTGTCTCTACACAAAATCCTTCTTTCTAAGCATTATCAAACAAAACCAAACTAAGACACTCTAAAGAAATAGTTATGTTAGGCAAAGAGCTGGATGTGCCTGTGAGAGGTGCTTTTATGAATGTTAAGCAGCTGCTCAGGAACATAATACTGAAAAAAACTACTTTTCTTACCCATTTCAAGACTGTGCCATTGCCATCTTTCTGCTACTACAGCTAGAACTACCTGATTTAATGATGTAGGTACTGACCAGCAAAAGTCAGTGTGTTACCACCTGGATACCCATCACACAGCCACACTGGTAGCTTTTGCAGTGTTTTGTACATTTTTAAAAAATATTTCCTTCTTTAAAAACACATTCTTCTTCTGATAAGCTGCAACTCTCTTTAAAAGGCTTCTTCCCAGATAATATTTTTCTAAATCAGCTGCCAAATATCTACAGAAGTACATGTACATTCTATGTATGATAATGTAATTTATAGTAATATAAAATTTGAGACACAGCTCAACAGAAATCCCAGAGTATGTAATTTGGTTTGTTTGTTCCACATTATTGTGACAAACATGGCTTTTTAGGAGGTCCACAATGAATTATATGCCAGAATGTTCTTTATCATCCAGACTGCTTGAACCTAGTATGACTAATTCAAACATATTAGGGATACCCTAGAATTTCTTAATATATTCACTTAAATATTTAAAGTACTTTATATTATTTATTTAATATGTTTAAAGCACTTAAAGTGTCTATTATGAATATGGTCCACATCCCGCTTCTATGAAATCAAGGGAAGTTCTGGCATTGACTTCTACTGAAGCTGCACACTTTCCTGTGTTATTTTAAATTTAGATAAATCAGTACTAACGTAGTTTTAAATGTATTCTTTGATGGCATGAATTTAGAACAGGTTTTCAGTCTAATCAGAAGACATTATGTAGAGTTATTCACCAGGCTTGTTGAAAACTATACCAAATCACACCAACTGTGAATTTGTCAGATTGTAAACTTAAACACAGTAAACCAGTTAAATTTAGCTTAAAGTTACTACCGAATATCTACTTCTGAACACTTTTGCTAGTACCTTTTACCACTGATAGGAAGGAATAACATTTGTGAGATAGCTTTATAAGAACATAGCAAATTTTAAAAACCCAGCTTTAAAGAGTGTTTAATCAGCATAATATCTACATGTCTAAACACAGGAACTAATAAAACATGCTGCTGTTCTTGTCAGCCACTTACATGCACACTTCATGTATTAAAGTCTCCCCTGGATTATCTGAAACCCAGAGATCTCCCGACACAAATATTTTCATTTGGTACGGTTCAGTAAATCTCCTGGGTTTCATATTTTTTAGGAACCAGTCTAGGAAAAGAATATACTCTTGTCAAACTCTTGGCTTACACATGGTGCTTGGTGGGGTGCACAGCTGACTTCTTTCTCCCTTCCTTCTTCCAAGAAGGACAATAATTGTTGGGTGTGACACCCCTTATCAGTTCAGTCTTTGGATATTAGAGCTAGTACGTTTTTTACAGTCCTAACTGACCCTTGCCAGCTTGGACTGGGAGAGTAAACAGATGTCAAGGATATGCTTTCCATTACAAATCCAGCCTCAGCTTCTGAAGGAAGATAAGGATGGTCAAGCCCAAGCAAGTCCAAGTCACAAGTGAGTAGTTTGTGGCTACAGAGTAATGGAAAGCCAGTCTGAAAAATACTAAGTATATAGTATCTCTAGTCCAAGTACAAGACAAATGATACGTCAAGTCCTAAAATTGTGTTCTGCAGCTTCAGCTGTGCTCAGACTGCAAAATACCTGAGCACTGCTGCAAGAGGAAAATATAAGCCATAGATACTGTCACTGACACAAGATACTGCATACAATATGCCAGAAAACAGAATTCTATCCACTTGTCAACAAGTTGGGTTTGCTTCTATTTTTATTATGAGGAAGTACGAACAAGCTCTGCAGTAAATCAAATCTATCAGACCATGGGGGACCAGAGATCAGTCCAGAATATGATGCAGGATGTCTTTGTTACTAATATTCATATCAAAATCTTAAACCAAAATTTTGTGCACAGACATCTCAGATGAAAGTGAAATTAATCTTCATAACAGGAATTCATGTCCTTTTTTAAACTGAGGGAACTTGGAATACATTTGGGATTCTGGAGCGAAGGTGTGACTAGATGCTGAGCAAAGCAGAAAATTAAAATGTTGAAACGTAAATTGTCATTGCTTTCAGAGGCAAGATTTTGTCAAGATTGACAGAGTAGTCTATAGTTGTTTTCTGTCCACTGATGTGACCTGTTTGCACATTTTTGATGACAAATTATATTGGATTTTATTGTAATTTATGTTGGGTTTTTATTGCCATGCACAAGGCTCTTATGACCTATGTAGGACTACTTATTACTGCAGGGCAAAAATCAACCTACCTAAATCTGTGGTGAGTCCTACTAATATCAGACAACTAAACATAATGATAAAATCCTGATTTCCAGAAACGTAACTCCCTTCCACATCAGGTAACCTCAGATCTCCCCGCGGAGATCTAAACTGAAGCTTGGGTACCAATCTCCATCCGCTAAAGTTTCGAACCCTCATGAAAATATTTCTTTTCTACCCAGAATGCAATATTTTCAAGTGACACCAATCTTCCACCAGAAGAGACTGTCCATTTACTTTACCTGCATCAGCAGCTGTGATCAGTAGTATGTACTCCTCCTTTGCCTCCCGGTCCAGGCTCTGCACCAAGCGCAGCTCTCCACTGGCTGAGAGAGTAAAGGCTCCTTCTTCATTTCCAGCCACCAGCACATAAGTAAGTTTGCTGTTTAGGCCTTGATCATCATCCCTTGCTACAACCTACAAAATCAATGCAAACACATGAGAAAAAATATTAAGAACTGATGAACACAGGGTTTGTAAAATTTTACTACAGTAGAGGAAATATTCTCTATGACAATAATCTAAAATAATACGTTGAATTAATCCAAATGCTTTAAGGGTTAGTGTAAATTAGCTGTAATTGTAAAAATTACATAGCTGTGGTGATGGACTTAAAAGCATAGTTTGAAAGAATTAAATAGTCAATTAATTATTTTTCTCAAGCATAAATACAGTAAAGACTGTGTTGGGGCTCAGTGAAAACCACATATGATCTGGTATAGGCTGAACTCCATACCAAAGCAAGTATTGCATGTCCTGAATCCATTTAGTGCTCTTTCAGTGTCTGGCACAGAGCCCCATCCCATGTAGGCAATGATCAGCTTGACAGATTTGTTGCATGAAAATTGAGACAGAGATGAGAGACAGAGCAAACTCTTAAAGTCCCAGTGCAGGTGGGAAGGTAGGTAGGGAAAAGACAAACAAAACACCAAAGCATAATATAAACTTTTGGTAAAAAAAAAAAACAAGCAAAAAACCCCAAAACATCCAAAAAAACAAAAAGTAAAAACCAGCTAACAACCACTGCATGTCAGATTACAGACGAGAGGCAACTTTTCAATTGCCTTGCACATTTTTGTTTTTTGAGGAAAAGACACTATATATTAATAACGTATACTGAGACATGCTAATAATTGTAGGAGCTACGCATTTATTTGCTGTATGTACTCACCTGAAGAATAACTTTGGGGAGCATCTCTAAATTCTCAGGGACGTTCACAGAGTAGGGAGAAAGTTCAAATGTGGGAATATAATCATTGACGTCCTTCAGAATAATACTGACTGTCGTGGTATCAGTCCTCGGGCTGCTCCCGCGGTCTGCTGACTGAACTGTCAATGTATAGGAGGGCTTTTTCTCTCTGTCCAAAGGCTTGGCAACTGTTATCACCCCTGTCACAGAATCAATTCTAAACTCGTTATTGGCATCTCCGCTCATGATGGCATAGCGGACCTGTCCATTTGTACCTTCATCTCCGTCCGTAGCAAACACCTGGATTAAATCCGTCCCTGTCAAAGTATTTTCCCCCACCTCTACTTTATAAAGCTTTTGGGCAAAAAGTGGGTTATTGTCATTAATGTCCAAGATTATAACCAGCACATCCGTAGATGAAGAAAGGGAGGGCTGGCCCTTGTCTGTGGCTACCACAGTCAAGGTGTAGTTGGACACAGCTTCTCTGTCGAGCTCTCCGGTAAGCCTCACTTCGCCGTCAATAGTACCGATGCTGAATTTGTTTCCCAGAGGCCGGAGCAGACTGTATTCGATGTAGCTGTTCGGTCCACTGTCCGGATCGGTTGCCTGCGCTTTGAACACGATTGTATCTATCGGAGTGTTTTCTGGGACGTAGGTCAGCTTCGGGGAGATAAAGCTGGGAGGGCTGTCATTCACGTCCAGCAGAATGATTGAAACTTGGGCTGTGCTTGTGTACCTGGAGATCTGGAGAGGGGCCATGTCGTGGACTTGCACAACGAGGCTGTAAAAAGACTGGCTTTCCCGGTCCAAAGGCTCCTTGATGCTCAGCACCCCATTGTTGTCGATGCCAAACTGCCCCGCGCTGTCCCCGGACGTGATGCTGAAGGACAGCTGTGAGTTGGAGCCTGGTGGAGTGGGGAGAAGAAAGACAGAGAGCATGACTTCATCGCACCAACCTAGATAGAAATATTTCTGGCCTCATTTCATACAGAAATGAGGGCTGTACAAACATGCCTTCTGTTCAGCCTCCTTATGACTGTCTTTGAATCCATCAGGTAATTTCAGCCAAGTGTCACAGTGGAGCAGAAGACTTTGAAATAATTATTTTCTGATAAGAATTGAAAAGAGAGAGGGAAGGATGTTACCTGGAGCAGCTGTGGAGGGACCTGCCGGCAGGACTCCCCCCTCTCCGCATTTCATGCAGCAGGACCTGCACCGTGGCATCATGTGTAATTTTTCACTATCTACAATGCTTAGGGATAAAGGTTTTGAAGGGTTTTCCTTTAGAAACCCAGAATCATTAGTTCTGCTGCTCACTGATCAACTGTTTTCCTTCATTCTCCACAGTTCAACCAATCAACGTTATTATTAATGTAATTATTTAATGAATTCTTCCATCCAATTAAAAAAAGCCACTGGCAGAAACTCCCATGACTATCTGGAGCAAACCAAGAGTGAATACTGGGGACAGGTCTGCTTCTCATATACGGCATGGTGTTACGAAATATCAGATGAACAGCCCTCATCTTATAATCGAAACGTAACTAGCAATTGTGGTCAAGGGAGAGATTTGTAATTCTGGTAAGGAAAACGCATTCTGACTCTTGACGAGGCTGTGAAATTACCTTAAGTATGCCACAAAGGAAACAAATGTATGTTCCTGCTTCGACTCCAGAGTTCACTCTAAAAAAACAATTTTTGGGAACACCTAATTGAAATAAGCCTTCTCACACACACATATATATAAATATATAACTCCAATTTTAATTAATTTTGAAAATTCTGCTTTCTTGTTTTGGGTCAAAAAGACTGTGATTAGGTTTAGTAGATTAACAAAGAGATTAATAAACAGTTCACTCATCATTTACTCCTGAAACTTGCTTTTTCATGAAAGAAACCAAGCTGTCTGCTTAAGTAGCTGATTACTTTGCTGTGCATTTTCTAATTTTTACCCAGAAGTTCCCACTGACTTAATTGCTTTGATAATAAAATTATTCCTGCATTATTAATTTATTAATTATTTAGATTTATTTTTAAGTAATTATATAGATTTATTCTTCTCTGCTGTTGATTATGCTCAGGCTTGGGAACTCTGGTCTTTCCTCCAGTGGCTACTCTAATTGACATCTTTCCCTCTCTTTTCTTCTCTTGTAAGAACTTAATTATAAAATAAACAGAACCAAACATGAAAGACAAAATATTTTAATGCAGTTAAAGAAATTAATACATTTATATGCAAGAAAATGGTGTTTCTACATTTTTTTGATCAAGTGAAGCACTGTGAAAGTTAATTGCTATTCTTTTTTTTGTTCAGTTTTATTTTCAAATGGCTAATTATATGGGTGAAAGTCTTCTGATTTCACTAAAGTACTTTCTGGCAATTCAACATTTTTATCAATTGAGTTTGGAGATAGGTAGGATTTAGATTTTACAGCAGAAAATTACTAAAATTACTTCAGAAATACTCCCCCACCCCATTGTTTTCTATGGTGGTGTTTGTTTCCATAAGGAAGAACAAGCAGTAAATTCTACCTCACCTCCATGGCCCCTTTCATTCCTTGTCCTGTATTCTCATAGGTTTCAATGCTGCTAACACACATAGTTTAAACAGTGAAGCAGAAGGAGAGTTGCCTAAACCAGTGGCAATCAAAATCTAAATCAGTAGAGTGAGGACTGCCACTTAATGAACCATTCCTTTGTAAACACAGCATGCCGAGCTGGCATTGTGCACCTCATCCATTCCCTCTACCAAAGTCTGACACTGGGCTTTTCTTAGGGAGAATGTAGGGGCATCCTCTTTGCTGAGCTTTGGTTTTATTTAATCTGATGGTTAATCTGATAAAACGCTGAGTGAGAGCTCAGACACAGAGCCACCAATTTCATGATGATGCTCTTTCACAGGTCTTGTTTCTAATTTTATTTATTTAATAACAAGACCAAAAAAAAAAAAAAAAAAAAAAATCCTACTTCACGCCACCCCATTCTCTGAATATCTGTAGAGTCTAACTGGGAAATCCCACCAGTTTTTGCCTCGAGGACTATCTTGCTATATTTTTTAACAAATAGACAAGCTTGTCCTTTGCCTTGAGATTCTTCCTGTTAATGTGATGTGGAAAAATTAAAATCTGAATCTCAAAATGAACGTGTGTAAGGAAAGTAGAGTTTTTTATTGATCTGTAAATAACCAAGAGCTGTAGCTGATATTTACTATGCATCTGTACATGAAACTGTCCAAGATGAGATAAACAGCTATTGTTTCCCAAGGGGTGTGCTGAACAAGAAAATGAAAATGGAAGCAGCCTTACTATCACCATGTTTTTGTCTTTTATCAGTGTTTATCCTAAAAGAACAGTCATATCTCATTATAAAACAATGTCTTTTCAGAGCTCCTTCAAACTCTGCAATCATATAACATAAATAATCAACAAAATTATATTTGTGTGCATTGTGTGCATTATCTGAGCCACATGCAGAGGAGTACAGTACTAGCTATTTCTGTACTCTAGATAAATATAAGATGACACAGGATAACATGTTTGGGCTTGAAGCAGAAACACCAATAGATCACATTTGCTGAAGTTACAGTCCTGTGGGGCCACTCAACCTGGCACGCTCTTGGAATGAAGTTTCTGCCCTATTAATTTAAAACCAGCTTGTTAGAAAAGTGTGTGCCAGAAAATATAAAAGGCACAATATCTGACTTTTCATTGCATTGCTTCTCAAATACTCATTTTCTTCCTTGATAACTGAGTGCATGATGACTGTAAAATGATATGCCAGTGCTATGATATAGTTCACGTCCACTGCGTGCAGATGGATATGAATGTATGAGGTGCAATAGAAAAGGAGAACCATAATGGTTAAGTGAAATTAAGATTCAAAAATATTTGAAACCAAGCTTTGTACTTCTAAGAGGGGGGAAAAAAAAAAGAAAAAAGAAAGAAAGAAGAGAGAAGATAGGTTAGACACAAATCCATTTATCTACAGATCTGAAGGAACAATCCCTTCCCTGGCTATACATGATGCAAGCACAAGTTCCTCCTCCAACTTACAGCTTACATAAAATAAAAGCTTTACCAAAAGTGGTGAAAGAGAGATATATGCAAGAATAGCCAATACCACCAAGTTATAATTTTTGACTTTTTGGCTTATCTTTTAGAATCCTTTCTCTGTCACTTTCTCAGTTTGGTCTCAAAACCAGTTGTGCAATTTTTACCATGGAAATTTCTATCCATCAGCACAAAATTTATGTTCCCACAAAAATGTACGAGGTCAACATCTCAGCATTTCCTGAGAAAAAACTGTTTTACTGAATAATCTTGATCAGCTCAGTTGTTTTGTGTGCATAAACTGGGACTCTTCAAAGCATGTAGGTGCTTTGTGCTTGAAGCACACATTTCAGTGTAAAACACCTCTATGGGCTCTGCTGAGCCAGTGTCAAGCTGAGAGGAGACGAGGTTGCTCAACATGTCACAAAAATAACCTTCACCCCTACAGTCACTGTGAGTGTTGTGAATAATTTTATATTAAGTCACACTGACTAATGCCTGTGGACACAAGAAAATGCAGCAGGCTATGGAATTATTTTTATGTATTTTATGGCTATTCTCTATAATTATTCTTCCTTGGAAATAAACTGTATGGCAAAATGGTTAAGCAAGCTATAAAGATTGTATCTTTTGCACTCCAACAAATTAACACCTTCTAGATGCCATAAATAACCCCAAGATTAAAGCTTATTTTAATAAGAAATTTTCCTGTGATCTCTTTTAATCATTTTCTAACCACTCTGCAGATCACAATTCTCTTCATGATATATTTAAAAGTTACAGTACATTTAAAATTATTGCAGACAATGTCTCGTATTGCCAGAAATTTATTATAAACTTTGAGAAAAAAAACAGCCTGAAACACTTGGGTCTAATTTAAATGTGTAACCTAAGCACCAGGGGAGAAATCAGGACGTAATCTGTGAAACATGTATTTATCATCAGACATGCAGAATATCAGGAAACACCTACCATCATCCGCATCAGTGACGTTGAAGTTGAGAATAGCAGATCCTGGAGACAGGTTCTCCATCAAAGACGTGCTGTATGAGGTCATGCTGAACACTGGTGGGTTATCGTTGATGTCCAATATATTGAAGTACACTCTGATGGTAGTAAATTGACCTCCCCCATCTTCCGCACGGACGGTGAGAATGTAATACTGCTGTGCTTCGTAGTCCAGCGCGCGAGTCAGGTTGAAGACTCCAGTAACGGGATTCAGGAAGAAGATACCCTCTTCATCATCTTCACTAACGGTATACGTGATTTCACCATTGATACCGGAGTCATCATCAGTGGCTAAAAAAAACAACCCCAACAAAACACGAAAACAACACACAGAAGGGGAGTCATCATCAGGGGCTAGAATAGCTGCCACTAAGGAACCTGCACAGCATGACAGGACAGCAAAATCAGTCACTCACAAAAGGCACCTCACTGCTGTGGTCAGAGCCAGCTCATCATCAAGAAACTCTGTGGAGTAAGAGCTATCCTCCAGTAGATATTCAAAAATCAATATTGTCTGACTAACTACTATTAAAGGGTTCTCAAAGCTGAAAGGAAAAGCATTTAGTATGATGTTTATTTTAAAGGGCTACTGAAAAAAAAAAACCAAAACACCAAATAGAAATAGCCATGAATACTTGTTTTAAACTTTAAACGGTAACATATCCATATGAACTGGGGTAAAAATACCTTTTCTACTGCTAGGTATTTTCTATCTACAACTCAAAGGACCTTTTCTTCCCCTCAGACAAATACAAGTTCTGAAACTTCTAGATATCCTGTTCTAAATGCAGAAACTGAAACGTCAGTACATAGCAAATATCCCAGCTCTACTTTTTGAAAAAGTGCCTTTGCAGGGTAACTGAGGTTAGAAAATCAGAAACCTAATAGGGGTCTGTTCTTCACTGTTTTCTGACATTCAACTCCTTGTGAATTTGTGCCATTGTTTTCATTTCTGCGTAGCTGCATTCGCATGACTGGCCTATTTTACTAAAGTTTGGAAATTAAGTGTCACCCTTTAGTATTTCAAACACTAATTATAGTTAAGAGCAGCTCATTTCCAAGAAAATAAATAATTTAATTTATTTTCCATGGAACCAGATGAATTGCATGCATTGCAGCACAGTTAACTCTTTTTGAGCAATGTGACAGTGAAAACTGCTTATCATCAACATGAAGAATAGTGCTGCAACTTTCTTTAAACCAGGTGAATATGCTGGTATCTTTTACATCCATTTGATTACCTCAAGTTTTAGCGTTTCTAATTGCATGGTAATTGGTGAAGAGGGCTGTCCCAAAAATGGATGGGGTTTACCAGCCCTCCGGTGAGTTTGCAGCACAGCAGGATCAGGGGAGCTCAGCAGAGAGCCTCACTGAGGCACAGGGAAGGTCCAGTTCCCAACGGCAGCTGCCAGGCTTTCAAGGGGAAGGGGGATTACTCTCCAGGGTAGAGAGCAAAGCCCCAAAGGGGAAACCTCGCAGTGCTTCACCTGCAGACCTGCCTGTCAGCTGCTTCGGGACCACTGGAGAATGGAACAGGAGAAGCTGCAGCACTTCAAGCATAAAATCAGCCTGTTTCTTCCTTCAGCATCCATCACTGCTGAGATGGGTATAAGGCACAAATGTACATCCCATAAATGATTAAAGAGAGAAGCAGCATCTTAGCGTGGAGGGAATTATGCCCACCATTTCCAGGGTTATTCCTGCTAGAACAAACAGAGCCTCAGGACTCTGATAGACAAGAGAGAAGAGCATAGCTGGGGATCAGCAACCAAACCACTCTGTGCTAGACAGATGTCTCGATTACTCGCAGATCAGAGTCCTGAGACGCAGCTGATTGCAGTGTAATCCTTTAATGCAAAACACCACTGAATTAGGGGACTCTGACTGTGAGACAGAACACAAAAGTTGAAGGCATAAGGGTAATCTTAGTTGTCCCAGGCTGAGCCTCCCACACTTATAAGTCAAAGTCCTAAGAAAAGCTTGAACGCTATCACCATGTCATTTGCATCTCCTTTGTTTATAAGTGTTTTAGAACAAGCTTCTAAGATGCTTCAGTTACTAATACTGGCAGATAGTGCTTTTAAACCAGCAGTCTGCAGAAAATGCTGGAAACTGTTTATTGTAAGTAATATTAATTTCTCATCTGGAGACATGTAATATAGCACAGCTTTTGAAAACTTTTTGGTCTAAATGTTTTCTCACTTCCAACCTAACTTTTAAACTTCAAAACACTCTTGCATAAGAAAGAAGCTTTCAAAGAAGAAAACAACAAGTTAAAGTTGGTGATCATATTTAGGAAACAAAATTATCTAAAGGTTGGATTTTCTACAAAAACCTTGCAAAAAAAAAAGGGGTCAAAGATAAGATCAAGGAAGTATGATGTTAGGGTTAGTAATTGAACATATGTAGGGAGTATTATTAAGGAATCGGAGTACTACTGGCTGCTCAATGTTCACCCACTTTGTGATCCTACACTTGATGAATTAAGCACAGTAAGTCATATTCACTGATGACAGCTCACTAAATCAATACTAGCATCACCATGAAATCTTTTTCATGACAGGTTATACTGTTTGTATTCTGTAAGTTGATCCTTCTACTACTTTTCTGTTTGCTATTTTTTAAGTAGTTGCATTCAGAGGCTTCCACTGGGTTACAGGCACAATTCCTATTCTGCAGCTAGAATTTATTTGAGTGGTAACCATTCCTCTATTTCCCATTGAAGAAAAATTTGACCCCACTAGTGATAAAGATTTCCTAGCAAGCAGACTCCCAGCATGATGCGATTCCTTCTGCCTCTCCACCCCACCCCAACAGGCGCCTTCAGAATCTTCTGCTTCCTGGCCAAGTCAGACAAGTCAGCTACCCTCTCCCCCTCAAGTACCTTTGGATTGACAAAATGAAAAAGTTTGGTAAATTTTAGGGCCATTTCCTATTTACCTGGAGTAGCATCTTCTGGGATGTCAAAGGAATACACTGGCTTGGAGAATTTGGGGATATGGTCATTGACATCACTAACAGTGATGTTTATTCTCATGTCTGAGGACTGCAGGCCATCGTCAGCACGAACCAGCAAGGAGTACTTGGAGCGGCGCTCCCGGTCCAGGCGCTTGGTAGCTATCAGGTCTCCTGACTCGGGGTCAATGTGGAAACTATCATCCGCACCACTGATAATAGTGTATGTGACGAGGGCATTGGCTCCCTAAGTGAAAACAGAAGTGGTCAAATCAAGTTATTTGCCAGGAAAACCACATCATAATTTTCAGGAAGACAAGAATCATTCCAGTAACTGCACTTGGCGAGTATTTTTCAGAACAGTTTCCTTTAATAAACAGCCTTTCTGCCCATTCCCTACTTCAATCCCCCAGTAAAGATGCAAACACACACAGTTTTTAATGTGAAATGATGAGATTACCCAGATACTTTTTCTTCACTATTCATAAAAGGATCACATCCAATCAACACCACAAAGCTCCGATACCTGTTTAAATTTCAAGACAGCATCACTGAGCAGTGTAACATCTCCCATCTTAAACAGGGATCAGTATTTATTCTTCTTGGTTTATGTTCAAAGGTTAAGTTAAATCCCTGCAGTGGGATCAGCTCTGCCTTTCCTGCTCTCTGGAGGTGGGATGGAGGGAGGGATGCAAGGACAGAGGAACATGGGCAGCCACACGGCAGCTCCACCAGCTAGCTCGCACGGCAAGAGCTGCAGCTCCTGGTCAGCAGAAACTCACAGAAGCTGTGCTTGCAGCAGCCCCTCAACGGCTATTTTCTGCATGGAAATACATTTATGCCTGTAAATAAACAGCCTCAAAGTGACAAATCATGTGTCATTAAAATCACAGTTCTGATCTTTTGGGTTGTGCTGGAAGTCAAAATCATTCGCTTTTAGGTCAAACAACACATCTCATTTGTCCTTGGAAAAAAAGGATTCATATGGACTTTGAGCATTTTGGTTAAAAGGAAAATTAAGGAGAAGTAAATTTACATAGAAAATTATCACCTACCTTCCCCCCCACACCTTAAACATTGAAATTAGAACTTAGGAAAAAAATACAGAAACTTCCATTCAAAAAACATCGGCACAGAGCATTTTGCCTCAGCCCTACCCCATCACAAACACTGCAAGAAGTCACCTGCATCCAGTATGTATCACTGAATATTATCAAGAAAATGAATTCACCTTACTGTCTCATCTCCGAGGAGTATCAAGGTTTCCTAGAAAAAGGGAAGCTTTGTTTTTATCCACCTCCTGGGGATGGGTTATGTAGTGTGACGCTGCAGCCAGAGGCTGGTACAAGGGATAACAGCAGCTGGCTAGAGCAACCACCACCAGCTTGGGTGGCATTTCCCCCAAAAGCCAGTACTCAGCTACAAATTTTGCTTCTTAGCATACTGACATCACTCTTTAAGGGAAAACAGAAAGAGACCTAAGATCCGGGGGTCATGTCCTTTTTCCAACACAGGCTGAAGGGCACTGAAGGCTTTGTGACCTCCAACATCAGGTACATGTACCTATACCCTGCGTGCTGACTGTGTCAGGCAAGGTGTTCTGGTGGGAAAGCAGGTATTCATGGTGCCCTCTGAAACCAGCCACTGACAGGCAGATGGCACTTCTGCAGGGAACAACAGATTGAAGAGCTCAGGGAGGAAGAAATTCTATAGCTGTTTCATACACTCTTGCCAGAAAGGAAAAAATAACAAAGGTAGTCGCCCACTCATATTTGTGAGATGAGGGACAAAGGTTAGTTACCTGACCTTCTGAGAGTGCCTCATGCCAAACTTTTTCTCTGGAGTGTTGTTTCAAAGAGTCAGACAGAGCTACTGATAACATGAAATTTAGAAAGAAAACAAGCTTCTACAGGTGCCCAGTCCTGAAGAGCTGCATGCAGTGCTTCAGCGTACACAGCATCTGTGTGCTCAGGTGTAGCTGGGGGATGTAACACACTTTCCTGCAATTGTGCAGCTTGGCACAAACATCTGATGATAATTTAAGATTTCAGTGGTGACCACATTCTTCACTGTTTGTTTGACTAGCCAGCTCCTATAGGGAGAGCTAAAATCGCAGTCATGTGTGATACTGGTTTAATCAAGTTTGTAACTTTACATGAATTAAGTGAGAAGCAAAACAAAATACAGATATGCAAAATGTATTAAAAAGCTGTATAAAAATTTCTCATCGACTACTGTCTTTAAAAAGTTGCAAAGTGCTAGAAGCTGTTGTAATTGCTAAAGTATTTGGTACCACTTAACATCTAGAGAATGTCTTTACATCTTTTCTCAAGCCTCTACATTGTCCTTATTATAATGGACAAGGGTTTGGAATTTGCTGCCTTCATACTACCATTTTAAAATATTTGTAGGAGAGATTCTAGTACACAACTCAGCCATGAGTTTTAGGGGTTCTGTCACTTACACTTTTGAAGCTAAAACTCTGATTCTGAAAGCACCTGTGGATGTAGCAAAGGCAGCATGCTGTTTTACTGAGCTGCATACATAAGTTGCACATGCAAAGAAAGAAGCCAGAAAAGCATAATGTTGCAGGAATATTATATGAAAAATAAGGAATGTTCACTGTGCCCTCAACTTCAAAGAAGGTTGGGGAGCTGGGGGGAAAGGCAAGTATGTTGACCCCAAACTGCACATAGCTAATAAAACTTGGACTCTTTGAAAAGGGTTTGAGTTACAAATGTTCTGGTAGGGAATCGAAATCATCCTTTTTTATTAAAAGATTGATTTCTGTCTAAGATAATTCCCACTGGGTGGAGTGCTTCAGAATGGATAACACATCAGGTGCAGTTTAGGAATAGTCAAAAAGAGGTTGGAGCATAATACATTGCTAAAATCTTAGATATCTGTTTGCCATATTGCAGCAGAGAGTGGTAGTTCAATATTTATTTCTTCCTAAACTGAAGACAGTTACATTTTTGTTACTTTCCAAAATCCCATTTTTTGTCTGTATATCAGGCTGCTATCAGAAAACAAAGGAAAGAGTAAAAAGTTCATAATCATGTTCTTACCATTCCTGAGAGTGTTACAACGGTTCCCCATGCAGTTGTAAGATTAAGTACACCAATTAACAGTCACAGGACAACTAACCAAGCTAATATAAAAAAGGCTAGAAATAAAATTCTCTTGAGAGGGTTGAATTACCTTATTATTTGAATGCAAGAATTGCTCGTTGTTGTCAAGTGTAACCCTATATTTTAATGACAACACAAACTTCTTTGCATGTTCATATTGACTTTTTAGGGCTTTTCCCAGTGGAAAAAATTAGTTCAAGTGTTTGAAACAATATGATTAACATTCTCATAACCTACATTCCAAAAGAAGGGAACACATCAAGTTATATGTGGATATATTTGCCTTATGCATACAAGATGACTGCAGTATCCCTCACTAAACCAAGGGGTCAACTGTTTTACGTCAGTTGCTCAAAGGCTTTTGCTAGATGCTTAATAGCTCCTTAGTTGCAGTATCCTCACAGCAATGTATCTAAGTGGGCAAAACTATTTTGCAAACACATTCATGTACAGAGCACATATTTTAACATTATTTCTTTTCCCCTCTTTTTGGTGAAATAAAACCTTCTTTAGGAAAGGATAATATTGATGTTAAGTAGTTCTAATCAAAAGGTGAGCAGGCATTATCAAAAGTTTTTCTGGTTCTCCAAGGCTCGTCTCACATTGATGTTATTGCACACCTTGAAACTGAGCTCAGCTACAACATCTCTGCTTCAAAGCTAAGTTTAGATCTCAAGCTGTGGTCTTAAACTGAATGTCAGTAAATCTTTATCACAAGCTGGGCAGTCTAGCACCTTCACCAGGTCACCAGGTATGATGTATGATGAGACTGATACTAAGACCATCTAAAATGAAATGGGACGCATTTTTTGCCATTACAGGAACCGCTCATTAAAAGATGCTAGGAAAACATGAACTGATTTTATACAAACCGGTAAGCAACCTTCAAGTAATAGAGAATTTGTCTCACTTGTGTGCGTTTGCCCGCGTGTGACTCCACGATACCAAATACAGTTGTGTGAACAGGCCAAACGCAGTTTAAAGTGTGACCACGATGACTCCCAAGGCCAAGGTCTCACAAAGAAAACAAGGGAACAGTTTTTCTGTTCTGAACATGTATTTTCAGAATAGAATTTTTATTACAGATATTCAAATATGAAACCAGGCTCCTACCTCATCAGCATCCATGGCTGTCAGCTGCAATATTTTAGATCCATCTCCTATATTCTCTTCTACAGTCAGATCAAGCATATCTGTGGGGAATACTGGTGGGTTGTCATTGATATCCTGAAGTGTTATTTCCACCTGTAAAAAGCAGGAATAGGAAAAAGTTGTGTGAGCACTGAGAGTTAGACACTGATTGGACCTGAATGTTACAAATCACATAATTTTGAGAGAAATCACATAAATTGTTCTTAATCACATGCATTAGAACATTCTCAAATCAGACCAACAACAGGAAAAGCCCCTCTGGATATTAAAATTCCACATTGTTATAAAATACTCACAGGAAAGCCTCTAAAATAAATAAAGTTAATTTGACTTGTTGATAGCAACTGATTTTAAATGGTCCTAGTCTAGTTTATATTGGAAAAGATCCACTGATAGACTGTCATTGTAATCCTCAAAGTCGGCCCCTGGAGGATAGCTGCCAAGTCCCAGGGCAGGAGATCATTCAACCATTAAATGCTGCCTGACATAAAGATGAGGTGGTGTAAAATTCTCTCTGAAATGTTTATATATTGGCAACTCTCCGTTCTGAGGGAGGAAAAAACACCTTTGCACTTTTTTTTTTTTTAATAATATGTTTTTCTCTCTTCTCAAAGCTCTCCTCTAACTGCAAACATAAACGTTACTTCAGAAGCACCCACTAGCATCTACTCTCCTTGCCTATGTACACCTAAACAAATTTTCATTTCACATGTGGCATTTGTATGCTTTTCCAAGTAGCAATGATAGTTTCTGAAAGGTTGTTGTGTGTTATTTATTCCTGATTTTCCATAAGCAAGATTTCTGCCCTGCTGATGCTAATTCAAAAAGCTGCAGAGCTTCGTTTTCCCTTGTTGCTGGGTATGGCACACAATGTTCCAAAAAAGACAGACAGACAGATAGACAGTCAGTCAGAACACAGCTGTTTTACATTTAGCATGAAAAATAAAGTCTTGCTTTGAACCCAAAATATTAAATGGCCACCAAAATCTGAAGACCCACTAACAAGAAAACTGAGTAGCTGAAGGAAGTCTTGTCTCTTTAGGCTGCACCTTGAATACGGTGTTCAGTTTCTTGCTCACTACAAGAAAGACACTGAGGTGCTGGAGCATGCCCAGAGAAGGGCAACGGAGCTGGGGAAGGGTCTAGAGCACAAGTCATGTGAGGAGCAGCTGAGGGAGCTGGGGGTGTTTACCCTGGAGAAGAGGAGGCTCGGGGGGGACCCTATTGCTCTCTACAACTACCTGAAAGGAGGTTGCAGAGAAGTGGGAGTTGGTCTCTTCTCCCAAGTGACAAGTGATGGGACAAGAGGAGATGGCCTCAAGTAGCACCAGGGGAGGTTTAAACTGGATATTAGGAAAAATTTCTTCAGAAATGGGTTGTCAGGCTTTGGAACACACTGCCCAGGGAGTTGGTTGAGTTACTGTCCCTGAAGGTATTTAAAAGACATGTGGATGAGGAGCTTAGAGACATGATTTAGTGGTGCACTTGGCAGTGTTAGGTTAGTGGTTGGACTCAATGATCTTAATGGTCTTTTCCAACCTAAAAAGATTCTATGATTCTATGATTTATTGCTCATCAAGGAATAGAGAAAAGTAGATAGGGCTGTTGCACAGGAAGGGAGACAAAGGTATGGATGACTTAAAGAAGACAGATAGATTGATAAAGAAAATATTCGTTATACTACAATACCTGCCATGTCATTATCCACAGGGATCTCCCTGCACTTAGATGAAAATATACGGGTTAGGCTGCTCTGGATATAATCAATGAAGAATTTTGGTGATCTGATGTCTACAATTTCTACTACTTCTAGTCACATGCCATAATATTTTCCTTTTTTTTTTTTTTATTATTATTCTGTTTTCATACAGACCACCAATTCCCAAGCCATTCTGATTTGATCACGAGTACAAAACCCAAGATAAGCATTTTAGTGACAAGTGGTTTGGCTGTCCCTGCAGAACAACAGTCACCTAGGCTCACTAGCTGCATTTTTCCATGAGCTCTCAGCGGCTGTACCCTAGGGTCATCTGTCCTCTGTGGGCCTCCTGAGACCACATCCTGAAGGATACTCCATCTTTCTGTCCTCCCAAAGGCAATTGTTTCAGAAAGCCCAACATCTCCACCAGTGCTAGAATTTGTGATGGAACAGATACGGTGTGTAGTGCCACTGTCCTTCGAAGACCCTGAAAATACAAATTGCTATAGACCTCTAAATACTCTGAGAGTATATTTGATCCTAACATACCCATTTCTTCTGCCTCAGAGGTCATTTCTAATGCAGAGGAGGCTGCAAGGAGCTCAAATATCTCCCTGATAAGCATTTTTCCTCCAACAGGATTTCTTCAGAGGGTGGAGACATCTAGACTGTTGTGAACACATTATGGCTACATTGGTCTCTGGTCAGTATATCTGTCACACAGGGGACACCTTCCACCCGGGGACCTAAGTCACCTGCAGTCACATCAAGTGAGTGAGCTTTGGGGTTTTTTTGCCTTTTGTGGTGGGGTTTTGTTTTTTTTTTTTTCCAGTCAGCATTCAGTATTTACGCCCACAGTAGGTTACTGTCACTGTCAGCCCAACAGAAATTTTCCACAGCAGTAAAGGGAACTGAACTGTCTTTAAAAACAGAAGAAACATTACATTAATATTATTGATATACCTGCCTAAAGTGCAAAAAAAACCCTGGTCCTATAGGCTTTATACGGCCTTTTATAGAAGGCCACTTTTTATTTATACCATATTTAATTCCTTTGACAATTCACAAATAGTACACAAAATATTTTTTGTTTCATCGTGAAATTTAAATCCCTGACAACAGAAGCACAAGAAGTGCTGACCAGAGCATCATGAGTGATGATTCGACAACTAACCAACCAGATACAAACTTTCAGAGAATAAAACAGCCTGTGTTGGTTTTCATAGTGACTGCTGCATCCGAGTGACAATTAATCACAGAAATGGGAGAGACGCAGTAGAAAAGAAAGATGAAGGATTTTGCCAGCTATCCTTGCAAGCGGGTCCTGCCCCCTGAACTGGCACAGCAAACAATACATTCTCTTCTGCTCAAAGTATAGCATTTCCCCAGATATGGTTTCAAGGTAAAGCAGCTGTGCAGCTCTGCAGTTTATTTATTCATACCATATATGTCACGCACAGCTAATGTTTCAGCCGCAGGTGACATTTCACAACCAGAACTCCTTTTCATGATGAGAGATTGCCCTTTGTAAAAATCATATGAAAAATATATGACAACTTCTGGGGTTTTGGGTGAGGACCTCTGCATTGCCTACAGCTTGAATAATTTAAAATAGAATCCAAGAATACAGATGGCTAAGGGTTGAGGGACAAAATAAATTAATTATAAAATCAGATTCCAAAGAACTGAAAAAAAAGAGAATATAGAGGAAGTAATTTTATCCTGAAAAATCGGCTCAGAATTAAACCAAGACACTGTATTTTATACTGAAGATGTGTTTTAGATGGTGGAAAAATAAGAAATTTTCAAACAAAGGATGGAAATTTTTAGGAGGAGACCACAGTATTTTTAAAGAGCATTTACACCATGATTTACTATTTATCCACAGAGCTTATATAATGCATACTAGTTCATAATTCACTGTTGGCTAAGTCTAATTTACATCCCTCTGTAAAGTTATCTTTTTATTTCTGATATTACTTGTTACTTCAGCTTAAACACAGTACTGTAAACCTAAGGAATAAGATCCTGGGACGTGCCCATTTGCTGAAATTTTGCTTAACTGATACACCTCTGAGAAAGACTCGAAAAAAATCTTTACGTTTTCCTCAAAACAAAAGAATCCATTAAGGTTTATGCCAAAGGCCTTGTTTAAGAAAGCATACATCCTGAACGTGTTCAGGTGTAAATTGAATGTCCAATCTTCTATCCAGGAGTTCAGAAATTAGTTTTACTTTGAAAATATTTCAGAAGTTCTGATGCCAAACAGAACCTCCAAGGACAACCACAACCCCAAAGCCTTTCATTGGCACAGGGCACTGGAAGATTTCAGCATGTCTTCTCACATCTTTATTGGGGGGAAAAATTAAAAAATCCACAAAGCTTTAACCAAATATCTAAACTGAATGTCTCCCCAACCAATTGTCTGTATCTGTCTAATCCCATATTACGTTTCTGTAAATATATCCATGTATATCACTCAGATTCTTGAAATACATGGTTTGATTAATATCATGTGCTACTAATTAATAATTATGTGCAATTCTACCTCAGACTTAATGAAGGCAAAACAAGGTGTTCATGGCAGTATTACTGGCTGTCTGTACCATGGGCATCGTGTTCAGAGGGTCTACAGAACACATGCTGTGCTTGCACCACCACAAATGGCAAAAATGCCACCAACAGCAGCAGCAAGTACAAGAATAAATATCTACAAAACCAGAGGCCTCAAAACCTAAAACATGCCACAGGAGGAAAAAAAGGGATTTCTCCAAACCTTGGTCCCCAGAACAGTAAGTCACCATTAGGCAACAACGTCTGTACCACTGTAGGAAGCAACAATGACACCAGGCTACATGGAAAGCAATAACGACCACTACTTCCTCCAAATCTGTCCAACATGGGGAATATTCTTGCCTGACCTCAAACATGCCAGTGGTTTTTTTTGTTTGTTGTCTGTTTATTTGGATTGGTTGGTTTGTTGTTCGATATTAAAGTAAGATGCCAAAATACAAACATACAACAAACAACAGAGATTAGCAAAAGTAGCAAGTCAAACAATACAACAAATTTCCATGTCAAATCAAATTTCTCTTTCTGCTGGCTTAGTAACATTCTCACAATAACACCGTATCCCTGCCACTATTAAAGATGGTCAATGCATCCTCATCTGTGACAGTTGGATTGTTGCAGCCTGCTGCCATGGACATTTTCAAAGCAGAGAAAAGTATTAATTACCTTGAACTTGTTAAGATTCTTATTTGCTGTTGAAATTAGTGTCTTGTGTTTTTTCTTCATAAACAAATTCAGAGCAGATAAAGGCAGGGGAGCATTCACCTCAAACAGTTTTGCCTCAATTTACTTTAAACATAGATGTAAGAAAAATAAGAACCCT